AAATCCTAAACCAAAAAAAATATATATTTATATGTATGTATAGAACCCTCCCGGAAATGCCCAAACAAACCCCAAACAATAAAATAAAGAGGAGGAAGCCTATCCAGTATGCAATACACAGTATTTTTCAGAGCAAAAAGAAGGGAAATCGCTGGATAAATAGGCCACTGCTGGCCACTGACGGCTGTGCTTTTTTTTGATACAAACCTGGAGAGTGAGAGATGATTTGCAGGAAAGAGCTGCTAAACTAGAGAGGAATGGAAGAAGAAGGAGGAGGTGGGAAAAGGATGGAGACGGACACGGTGGTTAGAATTGCTGGACACGCCAGGGTGCCGCAGGGTGGCCTCGTTATTTCAGGCTAATGAAGACCTTCCCTTTAGGGGAAGGAAAAGAAGGGAAAAAGAAGCAAATGCCAAACCCCAGGAGCAGAGCCGAGCTCCTTCCTGCCCCAAGAAGGAGGTGGGAGGACATGAAGAGCCCTGGGGTGGATGGGAGCTCCGTAGGGCACCAGCTGGGAAAAAGGAAGCGGGAAAAGGGTTTTTCCTTCTTGTTTCCCTTTTCAGTAACACAGGGCAAGGGGGGATTTTTCCTCTTTCTTTTTCCCCCTTTCCCCCTATTTTTGTTTAAGTATTTTAGCTTCTAAATGCAAAGAGTCACTGGGGCCCGTGGGCATGGCTGGGCCGGGGCGTGTGGCTGAGTTGGGAGCCCGGCTTTCAGAGCATGAGAAATAAAAATGAGAATTGTAAAACTGATCAATAATGATATATATAAAAAAAAGTCAAAGAAATCATGGAAGGAGAAGCATCCCACAGGAGCGCTGAGTGTGAGAGCAGGAAAGCCGGGGAAATCCCTCTTTCCCACCTCCTGCCGGTCAGCGTAACCCGTGCCACAATCGGGTCTAAGGAAAAGGCTCCTCTGGGCAGAAAAGCTGGGCAGCTTCCTGTGAACCCAGGGGGATTTGTCTTTTTCTTGGCTTATTTAACTCATCTTTTAAAATTTTGGTGGCTTAACTAGAAAGGGCTGAAATCTGCCTGGGAAACCAGTCCTGCCCCCAGCTCTCTGTGACAAACTAAAAAGGTGGTTGTGGATTTTCCTTTTTTCTTTATATATATATATATACTTATATATATAAAATTTCACAATGCCTTTTTATTTACCAACTTGCATGATTATGATTAAGATTTTTTTTATTTTTCTCTTTTTCCTCTCGTTCGGTTTGGTTGCCGTTGTACTTTTTTTGTTAGTTTTGCCTTGCCTCTGTGTGTGTGTGTGCGTGTGTGCGTGCGTGCGTGCGTGTGTGGTCGGGTGGCTGATTTCTGCTTGTTTCTCCTGTTATTGTTTTGCTTCTTGGGTTCTCGTTTTTTTTTTAGCTCTGGTCATGTGGACAGGCCCTTGCAGAACTGATTAGTGTGTTGAAGGTGATCTAAGCTTAGCCTGTTTGTATGTGTTTTTCCTTCTTTTTCCCTTTTTTTTTTTTTTTTTTTTCTTTAGGAAAACCCACATAAAAGCAGTGTTTTTGCTAAGGAGGTACTATCCTATACCCAGGTGCTGCTATCTGGGGCCTCCCACCTGCTCTACATTTCCCCCTTTACAAAAGGCAATGGCCTCCACCTGCCCCTGCTTGGTCATCCTGCTGCTGATGTGGGGGATGTGGCCACTGCTGCATGTGCTGGTAAGTCTTGGATCTTTGTGGGGCTGAGTGAGCACATGTGATGGGAGAGGAGCCAGCAGAATCCTCGTGTGGCTGCACTGGGGATGTCCCCGCGTTTGGGTCAGTTGTGCTGTGGGCAACGTGCATCAGAGAAATGCGGCAACCACAGGAGGTGCAGCTCTAGGCTTGAGTGGTTGCTGTTTTTTTTATTTTGTTTTGTTTTTTTTTTTTTTCCTCAAGAAAATTTGTGATTGGTGCCTGTTTTCCTTTTCCTTTTCTTGGATTTTTGTGATTCTTTTCTCTAAGTCAAGCTGGTTTTGCTTTTTAGGAGGAAAAAATATGTTTTTTCCATGATTTCACAGACTTGTGCTTTTAAAAGGTCTTTTAAAAGGTCTCCTCTATAAAGAATTATCTGAGGTGGTAAAAACGCAGGAGAAAAGCGTTGGAGGGCATTGTCCCCTGCTCCTGCTGGGGCCGTGTGGGGAAGGCTCGTGGGATGGAGATGTGTTGGTGGGCGCGAGCCAGCGGCGTTGGTGTTGAGGCTATGGGAGGAAGGACGTGAGTCTGCGGTGTCCACTTGCTACAGCAGCAGCTGCTGGTTTGGGGCTCGTTCTTCCCACTTCTGTGGCTTCATGCAGTATGTCCTGGCTGGTGTCCGCTGCATGAGGAGCTCTGGGGGAGTGCAGCTGTGAGGCATTGGCAGAAGGTGACATGTCCTTCTTGTGCTGGCGTGTGTGCTACCTGTTAGGCCAGACCGAAGTTATCAGCACCCAAGCTGTGTGTAGCACTTAGGCGAAATGGCAGAGCCTGGGTTGGGTGGCTGCAAGAGCAGCTTCCCTGGAGGTTGGACCTGCCATGCAGACCAGGCAGCCTCTGCTCCATTTTGCCTGAAGCGGTTCTGCCTTCGTTCCTCTGACAGCAAACACCAGTAGGTCCCAGGCAGGAGGTCACGGACTGCCTGCAAGCTCCTGCCTGTATGTGCATTGCCCTGCTCCTGGGGTGGACTGCAGGGGACTAATGTTGCCTGCACAGACCACCTGGTTCTAGGCCTTTTTCTGACGTCCCTGACTCTGGCGCTGGCACGAACAGAAGATGATAGTTTGCTTCAGCCAAATACCTTTGTGATGCTTTGCCTCATATATAAGAAGCCTCCCAGGCAGAGCAGCAGTAATTCTGACTCCCCAGAGGTAGTGCCATGTGGTGTACCCAACTGAGAGGGATTACAATTTTGGGCAGGGCGAGAAGCCTGGAACCAACCCATCAATGCATCTGCTTCTCTGTTTTGCAATTCAGTGCAGTCCAACTTTTAAAAGTACTCTCTATTTACATTGTAAAGAATGCTTACCCCAGCCACAAGCAACCTGAGATGCTGAGGGTCATGAATTTCTCTTAAAAAATGAGTAATTGCTGAAACTGTTGTTTGTGTGTGTCACTCCTCCTGCCCTGGGCAGCTGCCCGCCGCAGCACATACCTGTATATTCAGGGAAGCAGATGGTCAGAGGTGATTTCTTGATCTTCTCAGCAAATAGGTCTTTCTTGTTGAGGAAGAGAATGATGGAGGTATCAATGAAGAATTTGTTGTTACAGATGGAGTCGAAGAGCATGAGAGATTCGTGCATGCGGTTCTGCAACAGGGAGCATGTAGGGAGGAAAAAGGAGAGAGAAAGGCAAAGAGAAAGAGAGAGTTAGAGGAGAGGAGAACTCTTTTTAAACTGAAATGGTTAGGAAGCAAAACTTCTACGATAAGAGTGATAAATATGAGATGGTTACAGAGGCTGAGGAGAAGGTGGGGAACTCTGCCCAGGACAAAGCAGGCTGGAGGAGCAGGGAGGATCCTCTCCTGGCCAAGGCTCCTACCTGGAGCTCCAAAGAGACATGGCCGTTTGCTCATCACCTGCCTAGATGGAAAGCACAGGGGCAGCGCAGCAGCTGTGGGCTGCTGCATCTTCAGGGGCTGGGAACCCTGGGCACAGGGATGTAGGTGGATTTTGGACAGCAGGGTGCTTGCTGTGCTGTAGAACCAGTGCTGGTCTAGCGAGGCTGATGCCAAGCACGTCCTGAGATTCCTCCAGGGGCTGGGGGAGGTCATATCCTATCTAGACCCTCAACTCCTCTGAGGAATCTTTATCTTTGGAAACAGAAATGCCACAGTGACAACTGGGTCATTGCTATGAAATCCCAGCACTGCTGTGTGAGTAAACACAGGTCTTCTCCATTACCCAGCCCACCTCGCTGCTCTCCTGAGCATGATTTTGAGCGTGGAAGAGGCTTGGCAGGAACATGGACAGATGTGGTGGCTACAGCTCCCAGCTTCCCAGCATGCTGTCCTTGGGCACGTGGGCAACACCGTGTCTCCACTGTGCCCCAGGAGTTGTTATGGGAAGCAGAGGAGAGCAGACAGGAGAGAGGAAAAGACAGTGACAGCAGCAGATGATACCAGCCTATTCCAAGTTAGTTGCCACAGGAATTTTTAAAGCTTTGTTTAAATTGCAGCGAGATGCCTCTCTGTAGGTGCCCACGCGAGATGTTAGTACAAGGGTGGGAGTGCAGCAGTGCCACTGGGTAGAAGAGGTGGTTGTGCAGGTGCTCTCAAGAACTCTTTTCTCCATTATTAAGTTGTTCTTAAAATAAGCAAAGACATTTTCTCTTGTTCCACTGAAGGTTCGGGGAGAAATGTGGGCAGTCCAAAGTCAGCTTTATCAGTGTATATGTTCACCCACTTGATTACTGGTACCAAACTAGCTATGCAAAACAAGAAACTAGTGAAGTCTGAGGGAAAAGCTTTGCTGCCCCTTGCCGTGCCTGTGGAATGCTTTAGACACTGAAGAGTCAGGAGAACATGAGTGTTTCCTACCGAAATGATGACCCAATTCCACATTTTGGAGTTTACCATGAATATTTTATTAGTGAATCATTCTGTTAGCTACGGCTCGCCTGTAGACGCTGCATGCAAAATTCAGCAGATGTCTGATCCTCTCTTAACAGGCTGTTAGCTTGAGACTGAACTGTCTTGTGCTAGACAAAGAGTAGCTCTGGATGCTGAGCAGTTGTTTTCTGATGCTTCTGGACTTTACTTGATCCTTTAAAAAACTTATTCACAGAGACAAAGAGAAACTGCCACAAATGGATGTGGTTTTTCTTCATGGAACTTGCTCAAATGGCCTTTGCAAAAAGGCTCGGTCTTGAGAATTTCATGACTGGGGATCTGAGTGATGTTTTCTTCCTTGTTCATCCCCTAAATTGTCTCATATTAGAAAAATATTAATGATAAATTATTATAATGACAAATTATTTGAAATTGACAGGAAGGTTCTCCAAGTATTGTGCTAGTATAATAATAAAAAAGTGTGATTTATTAGAATGGAGCAAAAATAGCTCTTTTTTTCTTAGATGTGTGCAAGGCTCATGCTAAAAGCTGGTTGAAAGGAAATGAGCAGCTTCCTACTTGTAATAGGTTTGCAACCAAAATATTGGAGGAGAAATTGGAACAGCAGCAGAACTACTCTAAGTAAGCAGTGCAGGAATTCCCAAGATATTGGGGCAATACTCACTGCAGCCAGATGTGCTGCCTGCTTGGAAAAATCACTGTATTTTTTCAATGATGCACATAAATGATTTTCATGCAGGTGTTTTTATATTAGATTAAGCCCTGATCATGCCAAAAGGTCAAACCTTTAAACTAGGTGCTGACCCCGCTGGGAACTGCTGCTTCCTCACAACGGAGGAACGTGCAGATCGCTGCCCTGTTTAAGTTGTGCTGTAGCTGGACGTGGGGGATTGACGCCAAAGTGCAGCCTGGCGGTGCGGGAGGCGTGGCCGTGATGCTGCCCGGGGATGGTCCTTCTGAACGTAATGTGACATCCAAGACATACTGAGGGCCAAGGCCCAGAGCTGGCTGTGATCACATTGAGGAAGATGTGGTTTCTCTGCAGGGCTTGGGTGCCAAAAACCTCCTCGTTTGGGCTCAGCCCAGCGCAGAGGCCGTGGGTCAGCCCGGTTTCTCACGCTGCGCTCTGCGGCTCTCCGGAGCGCTCTGGGGGCAGGATGCCCACATGCACCCAGGGCTCGGAGTAATCATTCCTGAATTCCAGGCTTGCTGGTATAAAAATGAGGCTGAGCAATTTCAGAAGGAAAAGTAATTTCAAGCAGCTGAGGAACAAGCACAAAACTCAGTAAAGTTGTCTTTCACGGTAAAGAGCAAAACTAAATGCTGGCATAAAATAAATACCTTTTGAGTATATCCTTTTCAAGTTTCTTACCTGCTGGAGAAGGAATACATGACAGATAACCCATGTCTGTCAGACAGGCAACCGCTCTGATGCTTGCCGGCATCTTTGCAGGAGCTGGGAGAGGACGTGCTGCCCATGTGAGTGCTTGGAGACACTTAACACACTCGAGGAGATGCAATAAAAACCCTCTAACACTAGAAAAGAGCTGGCACTTTATTAACATTTTTTAACTAATAAATACATTACTGACAGCCAATAAATTATTACAATAACTAATGTTCTATTAAACCAATGGACAGTCACTCTTCGTACAAAATTACAGTTAATACAGATTGGGCCATCAAACATGCAGGGGGAAATGATTCACAGTGGGGAAACTGGCACAAGAAAAAAGGGTGGTGGTTGCCGGTGTTCCTTGGAAAAGCACTCGTTGGGGGAGAGCAGGGGCGGGAGGAGGGACAGCAGCTCCTGGGAGCTGCCTGTGCTGTGTGCCTGTTCCCGCATGGAGCTGCAGGGTGAAACGGAGCTGGGGATTGTGGCTGGGTGCAGGTTGCCTGTGGCCTTGCAGTGCGAGTGGGAGAGCAAAGTGTAGAGGTGGATGCTGAATGGGGGAATGGGGTTTTTTTCAATGTCTTAGTGGCCAGTCTGTGCCCCGGAGAGGGCTGGAGGTTGGTGGAAGGGACGGAGCTTCAGGGTGCAGCAGCTGCCTGCTGGGTTGGAGCAGCGACAGGAGAAGCCACGTGTGCTTTGCAGGCTGCTCCAGCACCCAGGAGGCTGGTTACTTCTGGGCAGGTGTGAAAATCATCCTGTTGCCTCCCTGTGATGGACTCTCCCACCTGCAGCAGTGGGGCTGTGTCACTTTCTGGGAGCTGCCAGGTTGTCCAGGGTGTCTGCAGGTCCTGGCTTTTGGGGGGGCATTTTCAGGGCACTGGTGCAAAGCACAGCCCTGTCCCGCTGCAACAGGCGGGCCGAGGGATGCCCGGCCCTCCTGCTCCCGCGGGTGCTGAGTCCCTCCCTGCCCTCTGACTGCTGCGTGTCTGCAAGGAGGTTTCCCTTCCTTGTAATCCTTGCCCTGGCTTTCACAGGAGTGGTGCCTTCCATAGCTTGCCTGTGCTTGTTTTGCAGCATGAACTGAGACCCCTCCAGGGAGTTTGCAGGCTGGTTTGGGCACAGACATTCCTATGAGGAGTCTAGTTTCCTCGCTACGCTCTCAGCGCAGTGTCTTATATAGGTCATGTACCTATATCTGTCAACATCAATTACAGCGTATCACTGCAGGAGCTCAGAAACTCTAATGTACACTCGTGTCTTGGGCAAGTGCCTCTGTCTGCCCTTTCCTCAGGGGAACGAAATAGCAGCCAGAACATGGCCCATGCTTTTGAGTAGAGGGACATGTTTCTGCTTTCTTGCTGGGAAATGTGTGAGAGGTGCACTGGTGGGGTGGCGATGCGAGTACATGGTGGGTTTGGGTCTCTCTTGAAGCTTGGTGCAGGGTGATGCTGAGTAGTATCTCTACTGACCTTAATGCATCCAGTGCCTTCTGTTTAAATAGTGTTTTAGAAAATTTGGAAATAGCTGTAGAAATATTGGTTGTAACCCTGAAGCCGCTCCTGGCTTTCCTATGGATGCAGACCTACTAGTGCTGAACTTGGCCAGCCTTGCTCCCCAGAAATCAGTGACAAATTTCTCCCCGACTTCAGTGAGAGATTCTTTGGCCCTGGGATGCTCTGCCTCATCTCCCAGGCTGGGTTGCAGGGCTGCCCTGTCTAATAGCACCTGCTGCAGAGGTCCCAGATGGTGAATTCTGCCCTCCTGTGCCCTACCCGGGCAGAGCTGCAAGGAGCTCCACTTGTGGGGGCTGCCTTGTGCTTCCCATCATGCTGCAGAGTTTGGAAAAAATAGGATTTGTTGTCAAAAGGATGTTTTACACATCCAGTTCCAAGCTCTGTTACATGGAGACTGTATTCTTGACCTGAAAATGATCTGTTAACTTGCAGGCATGCAATGCATTTATACTATAATAGGTTAAAAATGCCAGGTGGACTTTAGTGTACACAACACTTTACTAACGTGTTGAACTGATTCTCTGTAGCATTCTGCAGCTCTCTGCTTGCCTGGGTTTTTCCTAAGACATTGAATTCCACCCTGCTGCCCTTGCCCAACCTGAGGCAACTCAGAAAACTGCAAACTCACTCCCAAGGGATGTACATGAGGAAAGGCACCTTCTCAGAATCTGGAGGCTGATTTGGCTTCTAAGTTATTAACCTGAGCGAGTAACAGGCTCTGTGTGTTCTGGGTGTCCATTAAAACAAAATCATCTCAACTGACAAGCCTTCTGTATCACCCTCTCTCCCGAGGGAGTCCTCCTCTGGTGGAGGTCCTACATGGTCAGCAGGGTGATAAGCCCAGCTGAGCTTGGTCCTGCCTGGAAAGGCTGATGATGTTATTGAGCCTGAACCAAAGGTGACCACTGCTTGAACCTATCCAAGAGAGATGATGGGAGGAAAGTTGGGAAAAAGAGTAGTTATCGTGCAAAACTCCAGAGAAATTTGGAAGAGTCTTGAGGAGGTGGTAGGAAGCTATCTGGACTGTTTGCTGAAGCGTTATTGAGAAGGGGACTTTTTAACGGGTGAGGTGTGTTTCAAGGCTGTCTTTGGAGGCCAGTCCTGCAATGATTGCCACTATTTGGGAATAAGAAAAAGCACAGGGCAAAATAGAGTCCACAAAAGACACAGCTGGGAGGAATGCAGATTCCCAAAGATGAGCAATACCTGGCAGCCTTTCTGGAGACAAAAAAAAAATCTATATTAGGCCATCAAGTGGGGAAAATAGCAGTGTTTAACGCTCCAGCATTGCATCTTTCAAACACTGTCTCAACCCTCTGTCAGTTAATCCTCATGACACTTGTGTGCGGGAGGGGATGTCAGCAGCTGAAATGAAGTTTTAGACATGCAATATGCCAAAGAAAATGAAAGAAAAGACTCAATATGTCAACATCTCCTCTTTCCTCCCTTTTCTCCCTGGGGAGCACCAGGCATCAATTATAACCAATTTCTCCCTGGGATGCTGAAGCAGAGGGGCTGGGGAATTTGCCAGAGCTGCAGGAGGGGAGGGAGAGGGGCTCAGACCTCCCAGCCGTGTCTCTGAGCTCAAGTTGAACCCAGCTCGGTGGATGCGCCCAGTGCTGGGGCAGCTGGGACGGCTGCATTTAGAAGAGTTTGCATTTGAGCTGGTTTAAATTATCTTCACCAGAAGATTCCTGTGTGCTCTTTACTGGAAAATCCTTGAGTCTTGGCTCAGTGCCACCTTTGCTGGGAACAGTGTCTATTGCTACTTAAATAGAATATAATTTCCCCCACAGCAGAGGGTGGAAATAAGCATAATAACATAAAAACTCTGAAATCTTTCAGTGCCTGGTGCTACCAATCAACCTTTTCTGGTAGCATTTAGTAAAGACCTGCCAGAGGGCATCGCTAGTGCTCAACAGCATGCAAGTTTTGTTTTTCGTTTGAGGTCCAGTGGCTATGTGTGGATTGTGTCTCAAGTAGCATTCAGGTTTGTAGCCCAATCAATGTAAATTTACATCACCCTGAAGCTACATGTCATGGGTGACACCAGTTTCCCAGCACCTGCACAAGGCTGGACTCCAGGACACTCTCTTTTGTTGTTCTGCATCACTCCAGTGAATGCCCTGCCTCTCTGGGGCAAAGCACCATCCAATTGCCATTTTTTAGTATCTGAATAGCAAAGAAATTAATTGTTTGGCAATTAATTAATCAAATTAATTAGCTAGCTTCAGACAGCAGCAGAACTTTCATCTGGAGTAAAACAACCTCTGAAGTCAGCAAAGGACATCCAGAAAGAAAGCTGGGTTTGGGATTGTGTGGAAACTGGGGGAGGAGGTCTGAGTCATCTCTCTTCTTGTATCACCTATATATGCAAACTCCTAAAGGCCTTTTCCTGCAAGAAAACCCAACTGATTGTTGCATTTTACTGTCATTTCTTTGACTTTTGCCTTGGCATGCATATAAATCTCTTCAAAGTAGGGGCACATGGTGGTATTTTCTACAGAACCAAAGCGAATGAGGAATGTAGGAATGACCTGCTTCCTACAGACTTGGAAAATCCTATACTAAAACCAAGCCACTCATAAGCAGAAACCTTGTGCTTATTATTCCCTTGGTTTAGGGTTGTGCAGCGATGGTGCTAAGAGAAGCTCAGAGAGGGGCTGGGAGCATGCGGGAACCTGCAGTGTTGGGAGCAGCAAGGAGCTGTGAAAGCTGTGGGTGGGAGGTTTTTTTAAGGCTGAGATGGTGAAGGGAGAGGTGGTTCCTTGTCTTCTGCCAGAGCAGAGTGAGGCAGAGACTTGGTGTTGTTGCTGTTGGTGTTCAGCAGAGCAGTAGGGAGTCCTGGCTGTGTGATACTAAAACTGTTGAATAATTTAAGGCTATTCAGGGGATTATTAACATGGCTATAAACTGCGTTGGGTGGTCAGCAGGTCTGGTGGGTAACAGCCACCCTGGCTTTCTCTGATGGCCGTGTCCTGTGTGTCCCGGCTGCTCTTGGCTCACGTCACTGGGTTGTCCCAGATCTCCTGCAAGTGCTTTCCCTGGCAGACCAAGCCCTCGATGGAGAGGCTCTTCTGGCCTCCCACAGGTCCTTCTCTTCCCATTCCCTCTTCTGCTGCCTCAACCTGACTTGTCTCCTTTCTGCAATTTCTGTCCCAAACTGGCCCAACTTCCCCCACTGCTCCTCTCCACCCTGTCCTCTCCCTTTCGCTGACTCTCGCCCACTGAAGCTCACCTGGCCTCTTTTCTTTGCACAGCGTTGCTTTGGTTTCCTCTCGTGTTATCTTTCCCTCATGAGCACAGTAAGAAAGCAGAGATGGTAACCTTCCTGGAGGTGCCGCTGAGGAAAACTTTGCTTTTGGGAGATCTAAACCAAATTCCCCTCCTGGGCTCCCAAGAACAGACAGATCTGCTTGTGATGCTCTTGGGGACAGGGGGCTGTTGGCACCCAACCTATTCTGACCCGGCCTGGTTTGTCCTTCCTCCTTGCCTATGTGTTCGCTTCAGCACCTTTCCCTCTTACCATTTCTTCCTTTCCTTTTCTTTCTTGCACTCTTCCTTCCTATTCCTATGTTACTTGGATCAAATGGGTTCCCTGAGCCTTCCCCATCCATTGAATAGCCAGAGTACAAACTACCCCTCTCATTTTAAATCTTGGTAAAGAAATGACCTGTCTGGGGACACTAAACCCCATGTTGTCCCCTCTGACCACACACCAAGGCACAATGCGGGCACGCAGCAGGTCTCTGCTGGGGCTGGCAGTGCAAGGTCAGGTTCGTGTGAGTATTTAGATGGCCACGGTGCAGGTAAGAGCCACGTGTCTCCCAAGTGCTCTGCTGTCACCCAAGCTTGGCTAGGCTTCCAAAACCACCTGTTTGTGTTTTCAGTAACAAAACATGCAACTTTGGTTGGCAGAGACCAAGGCTAAGTGTTTCTGGTGGACCCAGCTGCCTTAAGGGCTGCAGTTTGGAAAGAAACACTATGTGTCTGTAGGACTTTGACCCCCAGGGTACTGTGGTCACTCTCAGGGCATCGTGGCCGCGCGTGGGTTTGCCCTGCTGCCCAGGTCTCACACTGGAGGGGCTAAAACGAAGCTCTCGCGACCGCCCTGCTCAGTGCAGCAGGTCCAAGGGGTCGGGTGAAGCATGGAAAGGCAGGCTGGAGTGAGAAATGGGTTACTGCACTTGCTAGACACATTTTAACATTAATTTTGGAAACTTGAGGTAAAATTGTTATCGGTAGTGAATGCTTTTAGACCATGCTTAGTAGGTTTTGTTACTGTGTCTGTTTTAGAGACACCTGCAGGACTCCATATGGCTGTTGTACTTGTTCAAAAAGCTGTCTGAAATAGAAAGGATAATGTACAAACCCTAGCTGCTGTGGCTGTGCTCAACACTGGCCTCCCAGCTTCGGGATAGGAACTGGAGCCATACGGTACCCTCAAAGTGATTATGTTTGCCTAGCACTTCCATAAGAAGTGGAATTACTACTAGAGTAGTAATTAAAGATAAATAATAGGATTTAAAAATATCCCCTAATTTTAGGAAGGAAAAGGCTTCTTTTCCAAACTAGGCTGTTGCTGATGGATATTTTAAGGCTTTGAATTTCTCTTTCATAAGTGATTTTTTTTGTTTGTTTTTTGGCAACTGAAATGCAATTGTGGGAGCAGCATTTGCTCCTACAGCACTGTGACTTGGCTGCCTTCCAGGGATGGGGCAGCAGGAAGAGACAGTGCAGGAATGGGCCAAACCCATAATAATAAAAGAAACAGGGTCGGGAGCAAGCAGAACTTTCTGCAAAGGCTTCTGGGGCAGAAAGGGGGGTTTGTGCCTTTCTTCATCTTCTGAGGAGGAAAAAAGAGAAAGAGAGAACCTGTCCGGGGACTGGAGGGTGTTCCTGGAGTGTGCGAGGAGAGGAGCCGAGTGGGGCTCAGTAGAGTCCGCAGCCCCGCAGGTTGTTGGCAATGATGACGTCCGTGACGGCGTCGAAGACAAACTGGATGTTGTTGGTGTCGGTGGCGCAGGTGATGTGCGTGTAGATCTCCTTGTTGGGCGACTTGTTCTTGCTCTCGTACTGAGCCTGGATGTAAGCCACTGCCTCCGTGAAAGAGTTTGGGCCTGCAAGAGAGCCAAGGGGAAAGCACAAAGAGCCTGTTAAAGTGGTCCCGTCCGTACAGTGCAAAGTGGCACCTACCACAGCCAGCTCTGGTCTTGGTGAACTTAAGATCAAAGTTCAGCTTCTGATGGGGAAGCTGAACTAAAATGGCCAGGAATTCAGCACTGTAGTTAGTTACTGGGCCCTCCCTTCCCTGAATTGCTATGAGAATAGGACACAAAAGGATCAAGCTTGTGCAACAAAGAGAAGAGGTTGCTCAATGGGACCAAAACGTCTCTTGGATGAACTGACATTGCGGTACCCTCTGCTAGAGCTGTGGCTAAGGTGTTCTTGGGTTTGAAGTCTATAAATGTCTGGGCTAAACCTTCTGTCTTGCACATGTTGTGGGGTGTGTGTGTGTGTGGTTTTTTTTTTGGGGGGGGGGGGTAGGGATCTGTGTGTTTAAAGTCTAGTGCTCTGGGATCAAGTTGCCATTGAGATTTGCTGTAGTTGAAGCTGTTGATTTGGCCAAGCACTCATGCTCACTTGTGCATCCGTTCTTGTTTGAAAAACACAAGTCTGTAAAGGCCATGCAACTTAGGAACATACTTGAAAGCAGTCAAAGCAGCCCTGTGTTTGCTGTGGGCTGGCCATTGTACTAGGAGCCGTGCAAAGGGCATGGGAATAGATCCACTCACTGTGCATAACGGAAATTTTACAAAAAGAAAAAACTTGGTCATTTCGACACAAGAATTTAGAGTCTAGATCCCCTCTGAGGGATAGGGGATCAGTAATTCCAGCTCTGCTTAAAATGAGCCCTGGATTCTGCCACTGCTTTGCTGAGTATTGTGGATTAGCTAAAAGCACAAGAGAATTAAGGAGATGAAAACAGTGGGTGCTGCAGCACAGAGAGCATGTTTGTGGAGGCAGTCCTCTAATAATTCTCTGTCAGTGGACAAAACCAACAGACATCCAAAACTTCATTATATTAAAAGCATTTTGTGTGACCAGCATTTGATGTTAAGAGTCTCCTGTTTGATTTATAGGCTTCCATCAAATATTTCTTTTCAACTCCAGGGCAACTTTAATGCTGCTTTTTAGCAAGGCTGACTATCGGTGTTTCCTTGGTGCTTGCTTTTCATGATATTTGCAAGGCAAAGTGAGGGCTTGATCCTATGAGCTTTTTCCTCCTTTGCCTTTACATTGTCACAGGGCAGCTACATCCAGCAAAGTGTGGGTGAGCAAGCTTGGGCATGAGCTAGGGTCTAAAGCCTGGGCTTAAAGCAGCACGTGTTAACTTTGTGCTTTACTGGTGCTGCTGATTGCCTGTCTTTGAGGTGCTCAGCTGCATCCTTTGCTTTTGATCCAATTCATGATTAAATCAGCAGAGAGACTTTCTTGGTCTGGGATAGCTTGGGAATGACAAGTTATAACCTAAAACTCAATTCCCTGTCTTTCTAATCTCTGTGCTGTCAGCATCGCATGGGGTATTGCTTCAGTGGGGTTCTTGGAGGACCTCTGGGAAGATGAGCAACCTCAGGTCTGCAAAATGTGATCTGTGAGGAAACAGTGGAAGATGCATGTTTCTTTCCTGAAGAAGAGGAAAGAAGGAAGAGGTATGATAGGGATCTTCCAGGAAATAAAACCACTGCTATGGAAAGGATGGTGCTGAGCTGCTCTGCAAGCCTTCCAAAAGAGGGCAAGCAGCAATTGAATTTGCAAGCAGCAAAAAAAGAGGGGCAACGTTACTTCCTACTATAAGGACTGTGAAATTTCCGTTATTAAATATTTTTAGGCAACTTGTCAGGAATATGTATTTGCACCATGGGGAGGAGTAGATGGCCACAATGTGCTGGAAGGGACCAACATCCCAACCTTCCCAGAAAGAAGGCCTGCAGATTGTTCTGCTGAATTCGACCAGTGTCGCTCAGCTCCATGTGCATTTATCATTCGGCCTGAAGGAGCATGATGGATCACTCCTGCCTATTCACAGTGAAAAGCAAGTGCTTGGAGATAGGAGGCTCTGGTTAATAATTTGTTGGTCTGCCCAGAGATGTGACACTCTTGGTACTCCCAGTTCACAACTATGTTTCCTGACAAAGAGATCTGCTTCTCTGTCTGTCAGCTTGATTCATCTGGATGTCTCTGGTGAGCTTAAATAATTAATGGTGATAAAAGTTTATTTTTGTGTAGCCTCTTGGATGTCTCTGGTGAGCTTAAATAATTGCGATAAAAGTTTATTTTTGTGTAGCCTCCGAATGGTAATGAGGGTTTGTGGAAGGCGGTGAGGTACGGCAGGAAGCAGCAGGGTGCAGCTGCAGACTTTGCATGGGTGATATATTGCCATCATTAGCAGGTCAGATGCCAGGCAAGCAGCATGCACAAGGCCTTCTGGAGCACAGCCCTGTCGCAGAGCCTCGGCTCTGGTCTTCAAGCGTCATCAAAGCTGTGGTCACCGCTCCCCAGTGAAATTCAGGGCTTGGCTGGGCCTGCATGGGGCAGGTGTCAGTGCAGGACCCACTTGTTCGCTTGGAGATTGAGAGCAGTTGGAATTCGGTTGGAGAATGGATGTGAAGAACGTTCTGCAGCTTGAGGTGCGTGGGACCTGCGCACGTGGCCACTTGTCACGTGGCAGACGCGCGAGGGGATGGCCGTGTTGTGCTTGGGGAAGGCAAGGCCTTGCGAGACAGTAAAGCCTCCTGTCTGCCCGTGGGCACCCTAACAGAGCCATTGCCCTCAAATGGTACTGGCCATTTGTGGGCAAAGAACTTGCTTTTAAGTCAACCACGTGCTTTGTGGGCCACTAAACAGCCACCAGGAGGTGGTTGGGTTCATCTTATAGTATTTGTTGAAAAGGAAAGCATGCAGTGAAGCCAAGGGGGGCTCTAACTATGCCTCTGGACATCTTTAGCCTCTTCGTGTGCAATATTTGACTGTAACAGCCTGGCCAGATGCACTGTGCAGCCCTTGCTGTGCAGTCCTGCGCACATGGCATTCTCATTACCTGTATACTCAGGAAAGCAGATAGTCAGTGGTGATTTCTTAATTTTCTCCTCAAATATGTCCTTCTTGTTTAGAAAGAGGATGATGGATGTATCTGTGAACCATTTGTTGTTGCAGATGCTGTCAAACAGTTTCAGTGATTCATGCATGCGGTTCTGCAATAGAAAGGAAATGACATGTCAGGCCAGAGAGAGCAACTCTGGGATGTTCAACACATAGGGGGATCTAAGCTAAATTAAGAAGGAAAATGGCAAAAAAAGAAAAGCGACAATATACATAATTTATGTATACATACAGCTGAACGTATATGCACACAGATGCAATCCTTAAGACATCTGACATACAGTTAGTAATTTAAGGGCACTTAGCAGTACAGAGCTGTTTTGACTTTGCATCATATAATTTACAGAGTCCCAGCTCATATAAATCATCATGCACCATGCATGGATGGGAAGTTACTTTGCCCTTTGCTCACAACGAGTGTCAGGGTTGTTCATGCAGATTTTCTAAAAAGTTCTCTTAAATTCTTATTTTTATTTATATATGCTTTACTTTCTTGAGTGCATGTGGCACATAATCAATGGGATACATTAACCAAGGACTGGTAGATCCTTGAATTAATCCAGAGTTGGAAGCAGACATCAAGGTGACATAATTTTGGAAATGACCTTGCTGTGAGCTTTGTGTGGTTTTGTTATTTTGTTTAGTGCTGTTGTCTGCTAGTGGGTTTTGAATTTCTTTAACTTTTTTTTAGTGTGGTTGTCTTTGATGCTTATGCTGCATCATGATACATCATGATGTTGGTGGCTCAACAAAGTATCTGGCAGAAAAGGGGAAAAAAAAGTGAAGCAGAAAAGGGAAAAAAAAGTGAAGGAGAAGGAAAAACTGTTTAAGAAGATAGATTGGAAAAAAAAAAAAAACTGTAACAGAGGATATCTAAGAACAACCACAGGTCAGCCAGCTACCATTGATGTTAGCTCCTGCCTCGCTAAGAACATTAGCTACTCGCTAGGAGAAGAGCCATAAGTCCAAACACACACACAGCAAGAAGGCAGCTCTTTGGTTACAGATCATGCAAAAAAGGACACAGGAGAAGAAAGAGATAAAAGGCATGAGAATGGGACCGGTTAGAAAGTTGTGAAATCCGCCACATGGTTTCATGGTGGTGGAAAGAGCTCACGGCAAAGTCAACCAATTGTCATGTTCCCTGCTGCTTTCAACTCTTAACTTGTTTTTTTTTTTTTTTTTTTTTTTTCTCAGTTCAAGAGAAGCTTCATACCTGCCAAATTTGGTGGGTCTCTCAAATGCTCATTTTTTGGCCTTTGTTTGGCTAGATAAGGTGAGACGGCCGAGGCAAAGTTGTGAAGGTGCTGAAGCTTGGTGGTGGTCGGCGCGAGAGGCCGAAGCCGGAGGGCGCGCACCGGTCGCGTGGCCATGTCCCGACCAGGAACGGGATAGCAGAGAGCAGGCGTAGCGAGGACGAAGCACACCCAGGAGGCACGGGGTTATCAAAGGCAAATCGGGTTACACACCAGACTGCTTCCTTGGCTTTTCCCCATGGTATCTCCTTGGGGCGGCGCTCCCCAGCCCGCTAATGCGCGTATGGGGCTAGTGGATGTTACAAGGAGTGTGGGAGATGTGCTAGAGAGCAGGGCTGCTGAAGTCCTCGGTGGGGTGGGCACGACGCAGCCCACCCGCGTTCGCAAAGTCGGAGCGACGCAGGGTGGGCGGCAGCGGGGGCTCCTTTGGCCGCTTCCACCCCTCTCCTGCTCCGTTGTGTGCACCGATAGCACCGCCGAGCCCCACATTTTATTCCTTAACGCTTTCCTTTGCATCAACACGTTAGTTGCAGCTGAACGTTTTGCTTAGATAAAAGTAGCTCCATGGGTGAAGGCCACTTCCAATCAACCTAGAGTGAAGGAGGACGCGGACCCTCTGCCGCACTGTACAGCCCGTGCGTGGCCAGTGTGAAGCGAAGGAGCTTCCCTCCACCACGTATTGCAACGATACATGGGGAAGATGTGGTTAGGCACAAATATAAAAATGCATTTATTGTCCCAGCTTTACCTTGCAAGGAGAACTCGGTGCGTGTTTCGGTGTCTGTCAGGATTGCCTTGGGCAGTGGCAGGGCTATTGCCCATGGGCCATGGCATGGAGCAAGCTGCCTGCTCGTAGGGACACCCCATGTTTGCACATTGTTTTTCTGCTAACTTGTTTAATACTGGGTGCCACAGAAACCGCGGAGTAACGCTTCTCTGCTGCCTGTGGCATCAAACTGGTTACCATATGGGCACATGAAAAGATCTTTGGTTGCCCAAAGCCCTTTGGGAGGAGAAGAGAAGCAAGTGGAGGATGGTCGGGGAACAGAAAGCAACTATAACTGGGTTTAGGCAGAGTCCCTCACAGGCCATTTTTGGCACATCTCTATTATCTTTATTGACGATTTAAACCCAAAGCATAGAGAAAGGCACAAATGATGCTCGTGGCTTACTCTGATGCCTCGGGATGTGCCCCTCGCCAGCACTGTAAGGCAGCCCAGCAGATCGCGCAGCGCAGGCAGCAGTGTGACACAGTTAGGCCACGTTCTCTTCCCAAGACAACCTAAGGAGCCTACAGAAGTCCTTCAGCTTACCTTATAGCACAGCGTTGCCTGGGAAAGACTGGTTTTAACCCACCTCTTCCTTCCCTTTTGCTAAGGACAAACAGACACTATTCAGCAGCAAGGACCCTCTTCCCTAACAAAGATGCAAAATTAAATCCAGGGTAGTGAGAAACCTGCAGTGGTAAAATGCAGTGAACAGCTGAGCGCAAGCAGTGCTGGCACCAGCTAAAGCAGCAAGTCCTCCCTGTCTCCTCTCTTCCTTTCCCTTCCTGAGAGCTGCTTGTTCAACAAATGTTGGTAGAGATCTCCAACAGTTCAGAGAGGTCCTGCCTGAGACAGGAGGGCACTTGCCCACTCTGCAGGAGCAGCAACAGGCATGAAATGCAGCTCCATTTTATACTTTTCCCACATAAATCTCTTCATCTACTTTTGGACCCACTGTACTGCTTTTGTCCAACTTGATTTTGCATCTGTCAGTATTTCACTAAAACAAGGACTCTTGAATCACTGGACTCTTAATGTCACCTCCTATTTTAAAACTGTTATTTTGAACCCATGCACCTGCAAATGCTTTAGACTCCAACAGGGAAAGCAGCCACACCAGGTATGTTTGAGGGATAACCACTCTTGCCCATAAAAATTAAAGTCTACATTTCTTTTCCTACACAAGCCACACAGAATTGCTTATAGGTTTTTTTTTAAAAAAAATCTAACATAAAAATCTTTTTTTTTTTTTTTCTTTACCAGAGTCCATGATAAGACCTGGTTATTTCTGCCTCATACAATTGGTGCAATCTTTTTTGTTTTCCTTGGTAATTAAGTGCTAACTGTCATGCAAGCTCTGAGAACATGGAGCATTATTGTAACCACAGAAACTCCGTATTCTCCCTCTGGTTATGCTTCCTAGGAAGCCAAAGCTACTTGCCCTGACTTTGTCACTCTGATGGAAATTTCTGAGTGCTGCAATTCAATTTTCATTGCCCAGTGGTATATGAGAGATCACACTAACCAGGTCATGCAATGAAAAACGAACTAACGGTTCAACACTAATGCATATCAGGAGTCACCAGCATGATGCCTTTGGCCTGCTGCATGCTCAGGAATAAGGGCATGAACACTACAACCGTATCCTGGCTAGCTACGGATGACTTAAATCTCTTTGTTTCAGAGGCAGCAAAATGCATCATAAACATCTGCCTTTCTTGGCCTGACTCCTTTGCGCTTGTGAGGAAAAACCAAAGAGGATGGTCTCGGTTCCCATGGTAGGTCCCATGCTCTTGATGTCTTGAAACGCTTAGAGGGAGCAATGCAAATCTGGGTTTTATGTAGCCTCTTCTCCAGTTTTCTTCAGTAATGACTGAGGTCCTTCTCTCCTCTCTAGAGATAGGAAAAGATCCTGGGTTTTCCACTGGTAAACTCGTCTTATGAAATATAAAAATAAGCCACAAAAGTGGCACTGTAAGCAAAATAGCCTCATTAGGCAAATAGGCCTATTGAGTTTGGTCTGAGTTAAAGCAGGACATTTCCACCCTGTGCAAATCTCTGCACTGCTGCCCAGCAAGGTGCCCTGCGAGTCCCTGTGATGGACTAGGCAGAGGTGGATGCTCAGGCATCATCGCATCTACTTGACCTGTCGCACCTTGGAGGCAGCATCTCCTGTCTTGTACGTGATGGGCAGAGTGTGATTTTTGCCTTGTGAGCTCTGGCTGTGCTGTGCCTGGCAGCAGTGGCAATGCTGAGGGCAGTGCTCGAGATCCTCTCTGTTTTTTCCCCTTCCCCAGAGAGCTGGGCATGCAGTGCCCTCAGCCAGGCCTTGGGGCACAAGGAGTGAGGTGTCAGATCCCCTGGGAGCCTTGGAAGGGGGTGTCTGGGGCAATGTGACCCTGCTGCTCTACTGTCCCTAACGCCTTGGCATTAACGAGCTGAGCAAGGAGAGCCGCTGTGTTTGAACTGCTGTTTCATCCTCCTTGAGTGCAGTTTGCCTTAGAAAAGCATCAAATGCTGTTGTGAAATCCTGTGATTATTGTCAGCAGGGTGCTGAAGTCATGAGGAAAAGCTCTTCTTGCCAAACAGCAGCTTTGCAAGAGTTTCTTGGGAATCCGGCACGTAGCGAGGCTCTTCCAATCTCAGGGATCCATGCCAGCAAGAAAGGCTCTGTGAGCCTTTTCATACCTGCAGACATCTGCGCAGCCCCCAAACCTCCAGCAGCTTAATAAAGCTGGAAGCGCCTGCGTCGTAGTAAGTGTTTCTATGGAAAATGAAGCTGGAGAACCAGAATTGCTTAGTTGCCTCGGCTTTGTGCTTCCTAAGTGAGAAGCAATAAAAGCTGATTTACGTCATTAGAGCCAGCAGCTGTGGCTGATACACACAGACAGCAAATCAGCCGACTAGAGAGATGCTGCTTTTACCGCTAGTTATTTTGTGGAGGGACCATGTTACTGGAGAGGGTGCTGAATGACAGGGGGTTAGGTTGGCAGAGGACTGACAGCACATGGGTGCTGTTTTGCACCTGCCATCCCTGTTGTGGCTACAACTGGGTGGGCGAGCTCTGGTACTGCTGTTTCTCTTACTTTGCTCTGGCCTCACGCGGGGCAGTTTATTTGGGTTAGGTGGGGGCGTCTTGCGGACCTGGCGGTGCTTGTGTCGAGTCCTCTCCTCTCCCCATGCGATGCTGGAACGTGTAAATGAACAGCATCTGCCTCTGCCCTCCTGTTGCTCAGCATCCCCCGAAAGGCGTTGCAAAAAGGGATGGAAATAGCAGTCAAACGTCAGCGCTGCGTCAGGAGGGGCGAGCCTGCCTTCCTGATGCAAAAGCGAAGGTGGAGCTGTGCGGAGCTGGGTTTCTGTAGCAGAGCATGTCAGAGCGCAGTCTCCCTGTCTGTAATGTGGCTGCAACATGGTGGTACTGGCTGTCACTGTAGTACCAGCTGATGGACTTCATGGTTTCATGATTTGGGTAAGTGTTGCTGCTCAAGCTCTGTGTAAAGTGTCCTCTGCTCAGAGCCCTGGACTCTGCCTCACTTGCAGCCCCTGCGCCTGTGCACTCCCTGCATAGGCTTCTTTGTCTTGGGTATTTCTCCCCTATCCAGATGCAGAAATTTTACAGCACTGAGTTAACAACTGGGTTTTTCAAATCACTTCAGGAGATTTTGGTTCCTCACCAGGGAATCCTACAGGTCTGAACATGCTTGAATAGATGAGGGTCAGGGTTATGGGGAGATGAAAACTTGGGAATTATAGCTAAATACATAAAGATGAGAGGGCAGAAGGTGTCTCAGTCTCTTTAGCTGTCTGGAGGGATATTAAGAACACCCTGAATTCTGGCATCAGTATGATCTGAGGTGACTTCCTCAAGCTGTCAGCCAGAGTGCAGAAGCCTAGGCTGGGAGATGCAAGAAGCCACAGCCCCACCATGTTCCCTCAATGCCTTCCTTATGGGCAGCTCTGCACATATGGCATGTTTACAAGCAGGGCAGAAAGGACAAGAGCCCCACATAGAATCAGGGGGCAGGAGAAGTCCTTTGTGCTGTCATACATGGGGTACAGGTAAAGTAATTACTGAAGTCTGAGAAGAGCTTTTGATTCCTTTCTGCTAGACAAATGCAACTGTGTTCTTGCCTCAGTTATTCTTAACCCATCTTCCCAAAGTTCACATTCCTGTCACTCTGAATGACACACGGGGTGGGAGAAATGTAGCAGGGAGCCTTCTTGCATCTTTTTTGTGTATTCAGTTAATTTGCATTAATTGCGCTCCCTCTGATAGCAGGGAGTGCATGGGTCCTCACTAACTTTATTCCAGATGGTATTTTGAGCCTCCTGTCACAGTAGGAGTTGCAGAAGCTCTTGTAGAGTGAATTACCTAAGGAATCAAATGGTTCCAGCACCACACATGAAAATGAATTTATTTTGCCTGAAGAAATAGGTTATGCTCCTAGCCTGAGCCTAACTCAGGGATCTGTGGCCTCCCCCCACCTCCCTGCAGCATGCTGTGACTGTTTCCTTATGCTTGTTTTAAAAGCCCACCTACCCACATCTACTCTCGATATAGAGTCTCTTTAGCACCCTTTGACAAAATGCAGGTCGGCTAAAAAGGAGAAGAAAAAAAAACACTGTAACTTCATCAAGGAACTGTTACCTGGAAGTGCAGGCGTTGATTTTTTGAAAGGCATGGAGGAGGACAAATCTCCCCAGGCCTTGAGTCGAAGGGGGACTGATTGACCAACGTGCATTGCTCTAGCACCACAGTGAGGCTCAGCGGAGCTCCAAGCAGTGCTGGCTCTGCAGCACCACATAAAGAAGTTTTGGGGCCTCTGAGACCCGGCTGCCACTCACCGTGGTTTCGTCTTCATGGAGCACCTGGTCGTAGCCGCTCAATGCGACGCAGAAAATGATCGCCGTGACGTCCTCAAAGCAGTGGATCCACTTCTTGCGTTCTGACCGCTGCCCTCCGACATCAAAGAGCCTAGGGCACAGGAGAGGAGCCGTCAGTGCTTGTTCAAGAAGAACCTTTGACAGCATCTCAATGTTTCTAAACGTGCTGTCCTTGGAAGGCTCCAAATAGAGAGTGTTGGGCCCTTAACCACTGGCTCAGTCTCCCCCTCCAAGATCTGGAGCCTGAAGAGGAGGAGCAGCAACAACTAGACGTGTGTTGTTTATGGGAGAACCCTCAGCAGGGCCAAAGGATCTGGGGAGGTTGAGTTCAGTTTTACATACTCTAAATATGACGCCTGTAGCTTTCTGTCTCCTCAGCATCTCTCTAATGGCTGACTTTGTGAGTGTCAATATGTGGTGTTAACAATGTGACTGACCCATGCTGGAGAAGTGAAGAAGTTTGGCCAAATATTTTTGGCCACACTTCAGAAGCTTCATCAGTTGTGGGATGGATTTCCTATTGTGCCTTCAAATAGGAAGGTGGTGTTTGGTGTAGAAGAAGGTACGGTGAAGGACTTGACAGACTTATTAGATACAGTTATTTTCAGGATAGGATTGCAAAACATCTCATATTGTTGATCCCCCTGAAAGGCAGCAGCCTCTGCAGTGGAAACTGTAAATGACCAGGAGTTCACTGAATGTCAAAAACAGGAGCTTTACTATTTTGCCTTTGTGAATTATGGAGAAACACTGTGATAAATTGGTGTTGTGAAAATTTGCCATGGTATTGCCCTTTTAGACTAACCTGAAGTGGAGATTTTTGAATGTGAAATGGGTTTCTACGATGCCAGTTGTTTTGACCCTGGTCCGAAGGATATCCTGCTCCGTGGGCTGGTAGTCTGCAGCTCCAATTCGATCTAAGCTGTCTAGGTAGCTACAAGAGAAAGAAAACAAAACAAACAAAACAGATAAGAATAAGATGCACATTAATCTTTGTCAATCTCAGAAGAATCCCTCAGCTTCTTATTAATCATTTTCAATCTCATTTGTCGTGGCTGAATGTACTTGGTTAAGGAAAAAACAATCCTGTTCTGGGGAAAAAGAGCAAACTTTAGCAAACTCTGCTAACCTAAGTACAAAATCTTCTAGTGAACCAAAAGCAGGAAATTAAGTGTTTGTGTGTTGTAAGTCCTGATGCCTATCTGTGAAAATATCTAGTTTAATATTTCTTATTATTTTTATTCCCTGAGGGAACTCAGCTCCCTCTTGATATGTTGTGCTAGATGCTCTGCAATCCCTGTTTTTCTGTAAGGACTTATTCAAAACCTTGCAGCCTTTCTAGATAAGAGACCTGAGCATGTAGGTCTCATTCCTGGACCGTCCAGGTAGCGTCACCCTGGGAGATGCTTCTCTTTCCCACTGACTGTGACAGGAGCTTGGGTGATGGGCTCAGTTGGGATGGTGTGTTTTCAGTTCATGTTAGGCGACATGGATCTTCACATACAAGTTTGAAGCCACATGCAAGTCTGTGATTGCAGGAGATACAATCTGGGGACAAAATCCAGGGGCCAGATTAGATGCTGGTCAATGGCTGTAATCTAGGTGTATAAAACAGATGTTTTTGAGGGGAAACAAAAATTTAGCTTTCTAAAATGCTTGGATACCTTTGAAACATTTGTTTTATTCAGTTTTAAGCTTAAAATTTATGAATATGGGCAACTCCCCTATAGGCTGGATCTTTGGGTATGAGGTTGCATGTTCTGGTGTGAAATTCTTAAGAAGAAGAATGCTACTGCTGCATATATATCACCTCAATGCATTTTTTTCATCCAAATTCAGAATAAATTTTCAAAATAACTCAGCCTAACTAAGTATAACTTATAGGGAAAAGAGGAACTTAATTTCAATTACAGTTTAATATGAATTATAAACATGGAGTTGCACCACTCAAAGTCTTTCCTATTGCTGGAGAGTGGCACACAGACATGATGGTTCCTTTTAAGGGAGGCATGATGTGCGGTGCCGGGAAAAAAGATCTAAACACATATTTCTAGCTTGAGGAACATCAATCTAATGCATGGGAGATGCATTTGATGTATTGAATATAACAAAGTGGATGTGTGTGGGATCAGTGGTTCTGGTCCCTTTGGATTTCTGTGTTTCTTGCCACCGGGCTTGTTGCCCAAAGAGGCAGTGGGGCAGGAGATAACATGATGGAGCAGGAGGGGAGGATACCCAATAAAGTCTTAGCGGGTATCTTCCCAGTTTTGGCCAGTGGAGCTGTGCAAAATAACTGGTGCTAAGAGAAGTTGTGGAGGTGCATGCAAGGAAAGGACATTGTTAACTCAAATGAGCGCGAGTTTGCCAGTGAGTGGGAAAAAAAGTATGGGGTGGAATTGTTCACATAACATAGCTGTGATATTTAGCTTTATGTTTAGAATGAGTTGAAAGAAAAAATTATATATATTTTCTTTTAAAGTTGGAGTGTGGGTTGGTGCTGATGAGTGAACGAGCCGCGCTGGCCTTGTAGCGAGTACGTTTCCCTGCGCGCCTTGCCAAAGCACATCGCGCGTGGCCCAACGTCCAGCCACGCTCGTGGTGCTGGGAGCTCGCGGGGCTTGGGCACGTCGCTCACCCTGACCGTCAGCGCGTCCCCCGCGAGCTTGGAGCACTGCCAGGCACATCTGGGCCGGCTGTGTCCCATCCCCAGCAAAGGCATCCTGGTTTGTAGGTGTGTCTGCACACAAATGAACGCTATGCTAAGATGAAAAACAAACCTCAGCCTACTCCAGTCACGGATTTTGGCCACCTGTTACTTTCATTATTCTTTTTTATGGAAGAATTGCAAGAATTCCATGACTTGAAGTGAAGTACGGGAGCTAAGTAGACTTATTTCTACCATGCCCTTCTTCAAGCATTTAAAAAAATCATGGTTTTATGACAGATGCTCCCTCAATAGCTTCGTGATGGGTTGTGGATAGCTCAATGGGCCTTCACTGGCCCATCCTTGAAATAAGTTCCTTTGCCACGATGGCTGCAGCCACCATCGCTCATCTATTCACAACTGGTTGTCAACTGCTGTTATTTAAGAGGCAGCTGCATTTCCTCACATGTCCTCAGAGACATAAATGGCTTTGCAGTGTTTTTGTTTAGAGACCCAGGCTTTTCTCTGTCCTCAGGAACAAGATCTGGAGTCGTTTAAGGTGACAGTAAAAAGCAGATGTGTAAGGCAGTCTTGGCAGTACCCTGGAGACTTTTACCTATTTCTCCATTTTCTCTTCACTTCACCTGTTCCCTCTAATTATTCTTGCCTTTGAGATACTCTTAATGCTGGAGTGCTGTGAATGTCCTGTAAACCAGCCCAAGAATGTCGGAAAAGGTGCCCAGACCCACCCCATCGCCACCACTCTCTTTGCTGCCAGGTTTCTGGGAGAGCAAGCAGCACGTCAGCCTCTAGAGGGGGCAGGAACATAGCAGTAGAGGGAAAAGAGCAGAGCAGGATCCATCCCAGCAGACTGCTTGTCTCTTAGAGCAGCCAGCTCCCAGTCCCAGTTTGGGCTCTCTCTGTAGGGAACTGGACTGCAGGGAGTGTTTTCTCTTACACCTATCAAGGTATGGAGCAGCTGTGTCCATGGCTGTCCTCTCCTTATCACTCATTTACAGCTTTTCCAATTCTTTCTGTCATTCCTTGCGTGGTTTTTCAATATTTTAAATTATTTCTGTGACCCAGTCCAGTCTAGTTTTTGGTTTTTGTCCAGTCTAGTGGTCTTAGTGAGGATTGGCCATCAATTAGTATGAGTCTTTACTGTGCTTTCTATGCTAGTTTTGGCATCTCATTCCAGACCCATTCACTCTCTTGGCTGCTCTCACCTAGAATTTCTCCTGTCTATGGCTGCAACAGTTTTTTTTTTTTTTTTCCTCCCCCAAAGCCTTGGTCACAGGCAGGCCCTGGTGGTATGGGACCGCCAGCTTGGTGGTTTGTGTAGAGCTTGGCAGGAGGACAGTGCTGCTGCTGCAAGACTGCCATGCTTGTATCCAGCTGCAGGCACAGGAAACTCAGCGCCCCAGGAAGAGTCCTGCTGGAATTTGGGGATGATCTTAGCGTCTTGATGGAGGTTTCCCTAAGGTGAACCATTTATTTGGGATGAGGGAAGTTGAGGCAGAGTGCAAGTGGTCCGCAAGGCACTGGATGACAGCTCTCCTGATAGACACTTTGAACCACAAATCCAAAGGCCAAACTGTTGCTGGAGAGACAATTGTTGTCGCAGCGAAGAGTCTTGATGACACGTAATCTCCCCAGAGCCAGCGCCTGGTTAATTAGCAGCAACAAAAGCCCTTTGGAGGATGCGGAGTGAGCGTGCCGCTCTCCCTGCTCCACATCGCTCTGGCTGCTCTGTGCTGGTACCAGAGCTCCTTCTGCCTTATGGGCTCCAGGATTTTATAGACCAGAGCGGGTGCATATCGGAAGTGACACGCTGGCTCCTGGTTACACTTGGGGCTTGCAGTGGTTAAACAGAAAATAAGCTGGAGAAAGGTTAAAGGTTTTTGAGTATATGAGTAACCCTCTAGCATTTATGCTCCTGAGCTGAGTAGCTCCATTACTGCTTATGTCTTTTCTCTTAAATGCTTTGTTTTGAAGTAGATTGCAGGTTTCTGAGTCATTCGGTTTCTCAGGCTCAGGGAGGTGAAACCCAGCTACACCATGCTGCTAAAAGCAAAATGCATGGGAAGGGGCATCTTCTGAACATAGGGAGAGGAGCAGACTGAACTGCAGCTACAAAACACACATGCTCTATAAGGCCTAGCTGATCTGTGCATCTTCACACAGTGGCATTCAAAATAAGGAGTAAATACAGTCTGTTGCACCTCCATTTGCTGTGTTCAACACCACATGAGAGCAGCTGATGTTAGATGCAGTGCGTGCGGAAAGGACCGGTGTATGAATTGCCCTACAGGAACAGGCTGCTCGTAGCCTCTGCTGTGGAGGCTAATGCTGCCTACACATGTTGTGGGGAGGGCACTCTGCTGCCACAGGAAACTTCCTCACAGATCAAGGTGAAGAGAACAAGCCTCCAAGATGCTCCTTCAGCTCCCAGCCTTGGCCTCAGCCTGTGTCTTCTCCATGAGCAGGGACCCGTGTGGGATACTCTGGCATTCAGTTTTGTTGGCTTGTGTTGGACTGAAAAAGCAGATTATGGTTTGTCAACAGAAGCAGCTGAGTCACCACCGGGTTATTTCATGCACAGAGACACTCAATGGTTATCTCCAGCGTTGTGTTGTGGTGACTACTGGCAAGGGCTGACTTCTTAATCAAGGTCGTCACCTTGCCTAGCTTCAGGTGCTTACGGGCAGCTGTCACCAGGCGAGCTGGCTTTACTGTGCTCCTTTACAGGCCATGGGCAGAAATGGGTGCTTTTAAGGGCCATTGCTTACAGCACAAGCTAGTATCATATGTAAAGGTTTCCCTTTCTCGCCTGCTGACCAGCGAGCTGTGTTCAGTGCTCACTAACAGCAGTGAGGAAGCAGATGAAGAGTAGGGGGCCAAAAACATGTCAGCAGTGACTATAAAAGCATATAGGAAACTCTTAGAGTATCTTCCACCAGAAGAGGAAAAAATGCGTGGGTGCTGCTTGCAGGAGGTGTGATACAGTGCTTGGCCCTGTTATTCCAGGCAAATACCAGGATGTTGTGGCACGATACCATTTTCCTGCCCGCACCATTCCCGGCCACATCCAATCTATTATGTTAGGGCAAGGGGGAAAACAGGCCACTATTGAGCACAGTTCTTGCCCCACACATGCAGTTATGGGATAACACGTGTCTTAATCATTAATTATGAAATGCGTGAAACATGGCTGAGCCATCAGGTCATGGCCTTTTCCAAACCAATGACTGCATGTAGGAAATGCTGCCTTTCTGTCCTCCTAGTGCCTG